AGTGTGTCGGAAATACAAAATGAGCCTTCATTGGTTTGTTTAGAGATGATGGTCTTTGTAGTTTCAACTGATTTAGTGTCATGTTTTCCAAAGAATCCACTAAATGTTGATCCAATGGTTGAAGTTACTCCACTAATAATACCCTCATGTTCTTCTTCATGTTTCTTTTCTCCTTTTTTATCATATGATTGTGTTACAGTGGAACTACTTGTAGTGGTAAGTTTTTTGGTCGTTTTTTCTTCAACAATTTTAGAACAAGTTTTTAAAAGTTCCTCTTCGAGTTCAACGTCTTTGATCTGTTCGCTTAGATATTTTCTGGCCTTTTCATATTGAACTTTCCATGTTGTTTCATGAGAGGAAGCATGCAATTTAAGATAATTAATAGTAATTGCAGTTGTCCACCAGGTGGTATGTGTAGTGGTTTTCTTGAGACGTTCGCTGACAGCATATGTTTGAATGGTAGAGGTGAATGATTGAGATTTTGTATCTGCGGAAATGTCAAGAATTTCAGAAAGTGTGTCAGAGATTTGGAATGAGCCTTCATTGGTTTGTTTGGAAATTACAGTTTTTGTGGTTTCGACTGATTTAGTATCATGTTTTCCAAAGAATCCACTAAATGTTGATCCAATGGTTGATGTTGCTGATCCAATGGTTGATGTTACTCCACCAATAATACTTTCATGTTCTTCTTCATGTTTCTTCTCTCCTTTTTTATCATGTGATTGTGTTACGGTGGAACTACTTGTAGTGGTAACTTTTTTGGTCGTTTTTTCTTCAACAATTTTAGAACAAGTTTTCAAAAGTTCCTCTTCAAGCTCAGCATCTTTGATCTGTTCACTTAAATATTTTCTGGCCTTTTCATACTGAACTTTCCAAGTCGTTTCATGAGAGGAAGCATGCAATTTAAGATAACTAATAGTAATTGCAGTTGTCCACCAGGTGGTATGTTTAGTGGTTTTCTTGAGGCTTTTACTAACAGCATATGTTTCAATGGTAGATTCGAATGATTGAGATTTTGTATCAGAAGAAATTTCAAGAATTTCAGAAAGTGTGTCGGAAATACAAAATGAGCCTTCATTGGTTTGTTTGGAGATGATGGTTTTTGTGGTTTCAACCGATTTAGTATCATGTTTTCCAAAGAAGCCACTAAATGTTGATCCAATTGTTGATGTTACTCCGCTAATAATACCCTCATGTTCTTCTTCATGTTTCTTCTCTCCTTTTTTATCATATGACTGTGTTACGGTGGAGCTACCTGCAATAACCTTAGTATCAGTGGTAACTTTTTTGGTTGTTTTTTCTTCAACAAGTTTGGAACAAGTTTTCAAAAGCTCCTCTTCAAGCTCAGCATCTTTGATTTGTTCACTTAAATATTTTCTGGCCTTTTCATACTGAACTTTCCAAGTCGTTTCATGAGAGGAAGCATGTAATTTAAGATAACTAATAGTAATTGCAGTTGTCCACCAGGTGGTATGTGTAGTGGTTTTCTTGAGGTTTTTGCTAACAGCATATGTTTGAATGGTAGATTCGAATGATTGAGATTTTGTATCCGAGGAAATTTCAAGAATTTCAGAAAGTGTGTCGGAAATACAAAATGAGCCTTCATTGGTTTGTTTGGAGATGATGGTTTTTGTGGTTTCAACCGATTTAGTATCATGTTTTCCAAAGAAGCCACTAAATGTTGATCCAATGGTTGATGTTACTCCACTAATAATACCCTCATGTTCTTCTTCATGTTCCTCCTTTTCTACTTTCTTGTCATGATGATGTTTCTCAACACCAACAAGAGTGGCTCCTGCGATAACTTTTGTAGCAGTGTGATGATGATCATCTTTTTCTTTTTTTTCAACTTTCTTTGTGGTTTCTTCTTCGGAGGTGAATACGTGACTGATTTTGCCAATTATGGAGGTATCTTGTTCTTTTTCTTTTGATTCTTTACTTTTAACCTTTTCTTCTTCTTCGGAACTACTAAATACGTGACTGATTTTTCCAATTATGGTTTCTTGTTCTGTTTCTTCTTTTTCTTCTTTTTTATGTTTAGTATCTTTATGTTTTTTCTTCTCTTCCTCCTCTTCTTTTTTGTCATGATGATGTTTCGCAGCACCAACAAGAGCAGCTCCTGCGATAACTTTTGTAGCAGTGTGATGATGATCATCTTTTTCTTTCTTTTCAACTTTCTTTGTGGTTTCTTCTTCGGAGGTGAATACGTGACTGATTTTGCCAATTATGGAGGTATCTTGTTC